AGACAACTCTTAAGATGTCCATTATACAAGAAAAGATAGTTCAAATGCTGTCAAAAGCGAGTCAAAAGTGCTTCTTTCTTCATTCCCCGTTTATTAATTGATTTGGGTGTGGTTTTACGTGGTCGGCGTGGTTTCATTTACTTCGTGAACGGGCATGACACGGAAACATTGAAAATAACGTAAAATGGCTTTTTCTCTGTACTAGTATTCCAGAGCAATCGTCCAAACAGCGTCCCTAACTTCCAAATTTTATTGTGCTTTGTCATAAACGGGATATTACTGGAAAGGAAATTTTTTCTCTATCTGTGAGTACCAAAAACTGATTTTACCAGAATCCCGCAGATAGCCTGGTTTTCTCATATCGGGTCACATATAGAAGAAACAGATATAATTAACGGCTACAATACTTTTGAAGACCATCATAGTCATGCTTTATAAGTTGTACTTGAAAATGAATGCAAATATACTGTAGAACAAATTGGTAATGTGACATATGATACACAAAACCCACCCCAGCATATATGGCACCAATTAGCCCCTGGCACAGAAGACTGCAGAACCAGGGACAATATGCAAGGTGAAAAACTAGAAAGAGATATAAGTCAGGAAGACATTGATGATAATGCTACATTAATTACAAATCCTTCTGATAACAACAGCAGAAATGGTCCTGCTGCTTTATCCTTTAGATTTGAAAGTGCTGCTAAGAAAGATGTCATTGCACCAGATGAATACAGGTCTCTTATGAGAGGTTTGAATGAAAAACAGAGACAAATCGTGTTTTTCCATAGGAAATGGTGTAAGGAGGCCATACTAGACTTAAAGAAAGGTAACAAGGTTAAACCATACCATATCTTTCTTAGTGGACCAGGAGGAGTTGGTAAGTCCCACGTTATCAGAATTATTCAATCTGATACTATCAAATTGTTGAAACTGTCTGGTTTCATTGAACCAGATGAGGTCATTGTACTTTTGACAGCACCTACTGGGGTTGCTGCTTTTAACATTGGAGGAATGACTTTACATTCCTCTCTAAAGCTAGGCTGTAACAAATATGGAAGCTATAAAAGTTTGTCCCATGACAAAGCTAACACATTGCGCCTCAGACTTGCAAAGCTTAAACTGCTCATAATTGATGAGATATCAATGGTAGGCAGTAATATGTTGCTTGATGTACACAGAAGGCTTAATGAGATACTTGTGCAGCCTCATGATGTAATATTTGGTAATGTAAGTATATTGGCAGTTGGCGACCTATATCAGTTG